CAGACCACCTCCTGCTGTTCCATGTGGTGAGACTGTCTTCAGATTTGTGAAATTTAGCTTTTCCAACTTTTTTGCAACCACATGGTGGGGATTCTTTGTTTCAGAGAGAAAAATTACATCCGGGTCATATTCTTTACAGATCTCTCGAAGTCTCTGAACTGTCCAAGGGTTCCTCAGCCCTTGGCAGTTCCATGCTACTACTTTTAAGGAAGAGGAGAGGGAGGATTTTGAAAATCCATCCCTGGGGCAGTACGAGAAGTGCCTGCATTTGGACGTCCTGCGCGAGGAGGCTTCCGTGAGGCACCGGTTCTTCTCTGAGGTAGTCTTTTAGTCGTGTTTCTAGAACTGTTCTCCTCTCTAAGAGAGACTTGTGAAGTAGGGTTCTCCTCATTGCGAGGGATAGGTTTTGGATTTTTGCTAGCTCTGACTTGCTTTCTCTTCCGAATGCCCGCGTTGATCATAGCAAGAGCTAGTGGAGTAGTACGTCTTAGGGGAACTCTGGTTGATTTCTTTTTGTTGGCCGGTTGCAGGGATGTAGGAACGTAGTCCGTTTCATCTGCAGGAGCCAAAGGTCCCAACCTAGCGAAGGCCGATTGGGGTTCGTTGATTTGTCCCAACCGTTGTGAAGCAGGAACCCTATCTGGTGTTCGATCCACCGGGGGGAGAGGAGGCTCCACGAGTTGGGAGTCAAGGATGTTTTGTGCTAGGTTAATAGCTGCTTCTTCTACCTCTCCTTGTTCTTCAGCCTGTCTCAGCCTTTCTTTGCGCGCAGCACTTTCTGTAGGATCATTACAGTTTGCGTATTTGGTCATGTAGTCTCGAATATCATTTCTTGCAATATTGACAGCTTCTGATGCATTTTCAATGACATGATTTTGGCCATGAACCGGTGTAGCTAGATGTGTTCTGGGGCGTGAGGTCTCTGAGATATCTCCGTCAGTTGGCTGAACCTCCTGTTGTTTGGGGCGTTCCACGCATAAGGCACGAGTAGGTTGTATCTGATAGGGAGCATGTCGATCTCTGTGTTCATGCCGTCTATATTCTCGTGAGCGGTAGGAGTTGTAGCTTTCTTCTCTTCCTCTATTTTCCATGTAACTCTTATCTTTGGGTGGTAATCTTGTTGTTATTGTTCTCTCCGTTGAGGGAGGATTTTTGTACTTGTATGACTCAGAGGATCTGTCCTCAATTCCACGGTGTCTATTTGTTGCAGATTTGTAGCTTCCTCTGTCATAAGATATAGAAGGTTGACGTGGAGCTGCTCCATGATGGTGAGTTCTCTGTGAAGTAGGAGGATCTTGAGTATCATATCTGGACGGCAAAGGAGTCCTCTCCCTTGTACTCTTTTCCTGTTCAATTCTCTGAGTTCTTGTCGAGAGTGTAGCATTCTCAGGGCCGTTTTCTTTGTCGTGACAGAGACTAAAACAATAGGTACAGAATCCCTGGAGCTTTTCATATACGAGTGTAACTTCCAATTCCTGGTTATCATCGAATTCCAGGGTCATTTTTTGGATTAGAGGTTGGAGTCCATTGACATATACCCTCATCTTGGCCGTCGTGTTGGAGATAATCGAGTGATCCAAAGTTCCAATATCTCTTGCAATACAGTCGAGCAGAGCAGTTGACCAAAAGTGGAGTGGCATACCTTGAACTTGTATCCAGAAGGGGATTTGACTGGGGAAGGTGGGGGATAAGGAAAGTTCCCAGCGTTGTAGGATTATCATCCAATGAGCAAAGTGATAGGGTTGATTATCCAGAACCTTAACAAGATCTCTCTCCGACGCAAATTGGAATTGGAAGCATCCTTGACCCAGATCTGCTCCCACTGGTCTGGATTCACACTTCCAATGGTCCGAGAGGAAATGAATAAGTGACCACATTCTTTGGACCTTAGGGTTCGTCATCCTTCCTACCAGTGTAAGAGCATGTTTTCTAATGAGCCCAGAATTGTCGATTGGAGGGACTCTAACTCTTGCTGAGCGAGGGGGGAGAGGGGGATCCACATGGCCTTTTCCTTTTTCAGCGTAGGATAGTCTTCTTTGCATATCTTTGTGTGGGATTTTTGATGGAAGGTTGAGTTTGGGTGAGAGGTGTACAAGCAGGGTTCTTCTTGTAAGAGACAAGAGAGTTTTCAAGTGAAGGCAAGAACTTCTCTATTGTTGGATCTGAGAGTGTCTAAGCAGGCTCTTGACCGTAGGGAATGTTTGAGAGAGCTTTCATGCTTTGAGATGTAGTCATCGGCCGGCAAGGGGATGAGGCGCGGTCCCTCCGACCATGGGTCGGGGGAAGAACCCAGCGTGTAAAACAACAAGGAAAGCTAATATTCCGAGTATATTCCCAAAGAGGGAACAATTTGAAATATTCAGGCTAAAACCTTGCGGTTAAAGGAATAGACAGGAAAAGACACAAAAGCTAAAGACTTCTCTCGAAAAACGAGCCTGAGAGCGTTTTTTATGTCAACTCAGGATTTCGCCAAATTGAATCAATTTCTACTTATTCCTTAAAAAATACACAATTCATAAAGAATATTTCATGCGTATGATTCCTTATCATTTCTTGAATTCTAAGGAATTATATAACAAAAACATTCCTTATCAAAATTGATATGGAACCAAAGTAATAAATATTCTTTTTCATTCCTTTTATTTTATTTCTATTTATTATTTTTTTACTCATTCTTATTCCTATTTTAATGGTCACCGGTTAGAGCCGAAATAGGAGTATAATGAATGATGGAAGGGAAGCTAGAGTTCCACACTTCCACCATCCGAGTATTATTCTAGAATCACTTTGACAAAATATTGATTTATATGATATTAATAGGTTTTTTAAAATGTGATATTGAGTGGGTACTATTGTGGTATTTATCAGAACGCAATAATTAATTTATCAGAATGTTAGTATTTATTTAATGCTTTAGAAAATCTACTATCCTGTTTTCATAAAAAAAAATTCACTATCCTAGTATAAATCTAAAATAATGAGATGCCATGCATTGAATACAGCAAACTGGACAAGCGTGACCACTGAGCGTGACACGTGTCCATATACATATGTGGTTGTATGAAAAAGTCAACTTACTCCAGTGAATCACAATTATCCTTTGTTCTAATCAAAACAAAACACTTTTCTTTCCTTTTGATAAACACTATTAGTTCTTCTAGAACAATATACAGGAAACTTTACACACGGTGAAATACAAAGTTAATCAACCCTTTTCACATCTTATTTCTGTCACTTAAGTTATTAAATATATTAACCAATCTTTAATTTAGAACAATATCTCTTGTACAGAAAAATAAATAGAAACAAATAAATCTATGTTGAACTTCTCTTTTTCTTTGTTTTTTTTATAAATCCTATCTGCTAATCCGGTCAGTCTCTAAAGGAACGCATTTAGTGCCTAGTCCGAAAATGTATTACATTATCTAATTTGAATTTGAAATATTTTCCAACTAATAATAGAGGATGTACCGATCATCTGTTACGGTCCATCATGTAAACTACTTTGACCAAAGTCCAAATTCAGACCGGCCAATAGTAATAATTTATTTTTTTAAAAAAATCAAACCCATATGATGTTAGTAAATACCAAATTTCCAAGAGATTACCACTAAACTACCCCCACTTGGTTATGTTGATCTTCTTTTTTTCATTTGACTTCATATAATATATATATATTTTTTTTGTATAATCCATTGAGCAAGACTCAAAAGTCTGATTTTACTCAATTTTAAGAAATAATGTGTTATTGCATAAACTAAATTTTTTTTATACAATCAACATGTTTTTTAAAAAGAAGCAAAATAATGTTATTAAATGTAACCAAGAACTTTTACCAAAAAAAAATGTAAGCAAGAACAAGGTATATGAGATAGTGATGTGTGGAAAGAATAGTGTACTTGCTACATGTAATGAATAGAATAGTGGAGAAAAGAAATGATCTAGTACTACTAAATAATTGAAAACTTGTGATGTTGTTTGGATGAATAAATTAATACTCAGTAAAAAAAGGGAAGGGGAGAAAAGGACAGAACGCATGCAAAATGAAGGGAGACCAAGTTAGAGTAAGATAAAAGCTGCTCACAATCTTTTTTTTTACCTTCCCCTATTGTTTACAGAAAATAGGGACCATTGGCCCAACAAGAAAACACCAAAGCAAGAGAATTTTATTTATTTTTAATGTATTTTGTTAAAATTAAAAAGAAAAAAGAAAAAGATGCAAAGAGGGAATATAATGAAGTAGCGAAAGAAACTCAAGAGTAATAAAGTTAGGTAGCAGAAAGAAGAAAGAAGAAAAACTACACGCGAGAAACTCCAGATCTCTCTCTCTCTCTCATTTACGTATGATTGATTGCGTCTTAATTTAACGTGTGGGGGGGTGTTTTGTAGTAATAATCATCTCTCATTCCGATCATTTTGTGGAGAGAGATCGTGGTTTCATCTCAAGGTAAATCTCGGAAGTTGGAGTGGGTGAGAGATCCGTGTTTGTTTTCAATCGGCATTGCTGCGATTTAAATTGGGTTTTAGAGTGTGGATGAGGAGATTCGTTTTCGATGTCTCAAATTTTTTTGTTAACGGTTCCGTTTCATTTAAAGTTTTGAGCTTTGCATTTATGGTTGAAGTGATGCGTTTCTCTTTTCTTTTTTTTTAAAAAAAAATTGTCAGGAGAAAGACAAGTGTAGATAAAGAAGACTTTTAATGCATAGGAAGAATCGAACTTAATGCATTCATAAGACCAGATCTGCCTCTTTTTCTCTCTGCCTCTCTTCTACTTTCCGACACAATCAATCAAAGCTCATATGATTACTCTGCTGTGGTAGAATTTTATCGAGAACAAAAAAAGGTTTAAGTTTTTATTTTATTTTTCTTTGTGTGTTAATGGCTTTGCTCTAGTTTCATTTCTAATACTAGTACTTTGAATAACCGTTTTTCCTCCAGGTTTGTTGTATAACTCACATGCATCTCCTCTCATTAACAAGAATCTTTCCCTTTTGATCGTTATGTCAGGTACAAACATTTGCTAATAAATCATTTATGTCTCATGTTCTTGTTTCCCTGTGGATGATGATTCATTTCTTCTGTGATAGTTTAGATACTTACTTTTGATTTCTCTGTCTGTTGAAGGAATTGAAGAAAATGGAAGCCTTGACGAAATCAGGGAGAGAAGATCAGACTTTGAAATCTCAGAGGAAGATGAAAGACGTCGCTCTAAGATCGGCAATTTTAAGAAGAAGGCCATTAATGCTTCTACCAAGTTCACTCATTCTCTCAAGAAAAGAGGGAAAAAGAAGATTGACTATCGGTTTCCTCCAGTCTCCATTGAAGATGTCAGGGATGAAAAAGAGGAGACCGTTGTCCTTGACTTCCGCCGTAACCTGCTCCAGAGAGACTTGTTGCCTCCTAGACACGATGAATACCATACTCTTCTCAGGTTACTTGCTTCCTTTTGTCTCCTTCTTTAGTAGCTACTCTGCTCCCTTAACTTTGAAATGTCATGTGTTGCCATCAAGTGGGTTGTCAAGCTAACTAACTAGTCATTTTTAAAAAATGTAGATTTTTGAAAGCGAGGGAGTTTAACATAGAAAAAACCATCCAGATGTGGGAAGAAATGCTTAGATGGAGAAAAGAGTATGGGACAGATACCATACTAGAGGTAAGTATTCATTTGAGTTGAATTTACACCTACTTGGGGCATACGGAACATAGCAAGGCTCTGCTATTTATATGCTTTTGCTTACGTGTATAATTCTAGGATTTTGATTTCCAAGAGCTGGAAGAAGTTCTGCAATACTATCCTCAGGGCTATCATGGAGTTGACAAGGAAGGAAGACCTGTCTACATTGAAAGACTTGGAAAAGCTCACCCTGCTAAGCTTATGCGTATCACCTCCATTGATAGATATCTAAAATACCATGTGCAAGAGTTCGAGAAAGCTCTCCTTGAGAAATTCCCTGCATGCTCTATTGCAGCAAAGCGTCGAATCTATTCCTCCACTACAATACTGGATGTGCAAGGACTGGTACTTAATTTAAGCTATGCTTTGAAGCAGCACTTGCTCTTTTACTGCTTCCATATTCTTAGCTGTGGGTTGTCATGTTAATCACAGGGCATGAAGAATTTTTCACAAACAGCTGTAACTCTTGTGGCTGCCATGTCCAAGATAGACAACAGCTACTACCCTGAGGTACTTGAGTTTCTCAATCTACAGCTCAGTTCTTCATTCGCATACATACCAGGTTGTTTCAAGCCATCTTTTATTCTGCAGACGTTGCACAGAATGTACATTGTAAATGCTGGGACAGGTTTCAAGAAGGTGCTTTGGCCTGCTGCTCAGAAGTTTCTTGACGCAAAGACCATTGCAAAGATTAATGTACAGCTCTCAACCTAGTTTTCTCTTTCGTCAACTAGTGCTTTCTCTTACTTCTGCTGCTGCAGGTGCTAGACCCTAAATCTTTATCCATATTGCACGAAGTCATTGATTCAAGGTAGTATGCTTTCCATTCAAACTGCACCAATCTCAGATATCATTTGAAGCCTATACTTACTAGATCCAGTACTCTGTGCTTTTAGTCAATTGCCGGACTTCCTCGGAGGTTCATGCTCTTGCTTTGGCGACGGAGGGTGTCTTCGCTCTAATAAAGGACCCTGGAATGATCCTGAAATAATGAAGGTAAAAATCTACACCCTTATAAATTTTGCGATTAACTTTTAGGACGCTGTTCTTTCTTTGAGAACTTTTAAGTAGAAGTAAGCTTTTAGTATGTTCTTTTACATGAAGCTCATTTTAGATATTGTGCCTTTATTAGCTCCTCTACCATGGAGAATCATCACTCTTTAGGCAAATCAGTAGGAAGCTGAGTGACCCGCAGAATTCTTCATCCTACATAAGTATACATCCATCAAAGGTAAATGGGCTCTATCATGCCAATATTTTTGTTCTAGAACTTTTTCTTTTTGCCGGTATATATGACAATCAGTTTTTAACTTTAGGCTATGCAAGCTGAGACTTCAGCAGCAGAGTCTGAATCTTGTTCTGATGTTCCTACTTCTCTATCTGGAAGAATGTGCTTAGCCGCTGCTCATGTGAATCCAGTTTATGAGGAAGTGAGTTATTTGTTGTGTTGATACATTCGTGTCACAGACAGACTCCTACTCTAGTTTCATTATACTGACCGGAGCAAATATGATTCGCGCAGGTTAGGACATCAGATGTTAACGGCTATTATAGTTGCGATGACAAGTTTACCATACCTAACGAAGCTACTAACCGAAAAGACCACCAAATGCTGGAACTAAATCAAACAACACTCAGTTTAAAACATGAGACATCTCCACCAGGTTAATACTTCTGCTTTGCTGTTCAAACGTATTCGTTACAGATGCCTTTCTTCTTTAATCCAAGGCTAAATATTATGAATTTTTTGTATCGAATTTCAATTTCCAGGTGCGTCAATCATACGATGGCTTCATGATTTAAGGGGAACAGTCGACATCATAAGAACTGAGAACGTGGCCAAAAGAATACTTACGTTGTTGCTGAAACTAGCAGCAGTTTTCCGTTGTATCCCGTTTCAGCTTCTGAGGAGGAAGAATACCATTACTCCTTCAAGTCCAACGGAAGATGAAAACAGGAGCAGCCTCAGCCCAACTACTCATGCAGAGACCGCAATGAAAGACAAGATTCGTCCCTGTTTGGAACGTATTCAGGAACTAGAGAAAGTGTACGAGGAAATCAGGAACAAACCGGTTGAAATACCGGTGGAGAAGGAGAGAATGCTGATGGATTCTCTAGACAGAATCAAATCGGTTGAGTTTGATCTCGTTAAAACAAAGAGGGTAATAATTATGCTGCTGCTTGTTTTCCTTAACTCGTTTCTCATAAACTCTACATAAATGCTAGCATGGACTTGACATTTTTGCCAATTGTTTTTGCAGGTTTTGCACGCAACAGTGGTGAAACAGATGGAAATAACTGAAATGCTGGAAAGTTTACGAGAGTCCCAACTTCACGTAAGTTAAGTCCTCCCCAGGTTGATTTTCTGTAGTGAAGAATATTGAGATGAGCTGACACCCATAGATTGTTCTGTTTTGCGCAGAGAAGAAGATTGTTCTGTTAGAAAAAAAAACATGAGAGAACATCTTCTGCTGATTTTGCATAAATACAGCTCCAAACGTCTGCACATACAGAGAAAAAAAAACCAGAAATTATCAAAAGAACAAACATGTTAGTTTCTCTCTTTACTCGTCTAACTTGGGTCACAAGCCATTTGTCATAGGTCCATCTGCTTGCACTTCTTAAAGTTAAAGAAGAAAAAGAAGATAGGGGCAGAGAAGAACTTGATGGTTGATGCTATCGGTGATAATGTAGATTTGAGATGAGATGAGAGTTGAGTATAAAAGCTGATTTTAACTCTTTTGTTGTAATCGGTGTAGAGAAGAAACTAGAGTAGAAAAACCAAACATAATGTGACATCTCTTTTAAGGTTATGGTATTTAAAAACACTACCAAGTCTCTGTTTATTTGTTTAACATGAAAGCAACAAGAAACAAGATTGTAAAGAAGTATATTAGTATCCATTGTTTATGTAGGAATCTGATGTAGTGATGGTTTGCCGTTGGGTATGATTGGAGTATTAAAAAGTAGGCGAGGTCACAATGAAAATACTAATTAAATCTGATCCTGATAATAATGTGCAACACTTCCGAACGCCATGGGATAACAACTTGTACATAAATTTGTTTTGACTAGAGTTGGAAACTTAACGCTATAGTATATTTTTGAGTTTGCTGGAACATTTGGAAAGTGTAATAAACATATAAATTGGTTAACACATCAATAAAACCAAACACTACAAAATCCCAGATCCTCGGTTTTGAGCCAGTCAATTCGCCCGTCAGAATGTGATTATTGTACTCACAAGGGCGATCAGAGGAAATGCTGGTAGCCATATAATTCCCCAGAACCCGAACAAGTTAATAGAAAAGAACAACAGTGCTAAGAAACCAAAAAAACATAGCCATATCTTTGTAAATCCTATCGGATGAACCGATGGGCTTGTAGTAGGCACGAACGCCTAGGGCCATCGAATAAGTAGATGCCATCATGCCAGTCAATATCCCCATCATCCAACGGAAACTCTCAAAGGTATACACATCGAACATCTCAAATTTTTCCCTTCGAATAACAAAAACATGCAACAGACAAAACAGAATTGAAACAATGACAATATGACACTACAAGAAAACTAAACATTTACTAGGAAATTTTACTAGGAAAATTCTTCCTCGTAAAGTTACTAAGCATTTACTAGGATCTTACTAGGAAAGCAAATTTCCTCGTAAGCTCCTCGAAAACTTACGAGAAAATACTTTCCTCGTAAGACCTTAGTAAATTTACGAGGATCTTACGAGGAAAAAATACTTTTCCTCGTAAAGCCGTAGTAAAGACTTTCCTCGTAAAGGCGTAGTAAAATATTACTACGAAATTAGGAGGAAACAGTTTCTTACTACGAAATTAGGAGGAAATAGATAGGAAATATCGAATTTAAATAAAACACATGTTTTGAACCTACTTTTCCTAGCAATTTCCTAGTAAATGCTCAGATTCGAAAATTTCTATAAATACCACCTTATGTGATTCATTTGAAACACACCAAAAAAAAATCAGATATAAGCTTGATCAAACACAAAAAAATGTCTGGTCCGGGAAATATTTTCGAGTTGCGGCAGTGGATGTATTCACACAGAGATAATAACGGGAGAGTGACGAACGAATTTCTTGAAGGGTTGGAGACGTTCATGCATCAAGCAGATTCTACACCACTCACGCAGGAAAGTGGTAAGATGTTCTGTCCTTGTCGGAAATGCTGCAATAGCAAATTAGGCCCTCGTGAAAATGATTGGAAGCATTTAATAAATAGAGGTTTCATGCCATATTATTATATTTGGTATCAACATGGAGAAGATGGTAGTTGTAGGAATGAAGGTAGCAGTAGTAATCAGATTGAATTACCGGTTGAACATTTGCGTAATGAAGGTAGCAGTAGTTATAGCTATGATCATCACCAAGAGGAACAAATGGTAGATTGTGATAGGGTTCATGATATGGTAGGTGATGCATTTGTAATTCATGATGATGATGAAGTTGAAGAACCTAACTTAGATGCAAAAAAGTTTTATGAAATGTTAGAAGCTGCAAATGAGCCAATTTACAGTGGTTGTAGAGAAGGTCTATCTAAATTGTCGTTGGCTGCTAGAATGATGAGTATTAAAACCGATCACAATCTACCTGAAAATTGTATGGATGCATGGGCAGACTTGTTTAAA